ATAAAGATAAAGATAAAGATAAAGATAAAGATAAAGATAAAGATAAAGATAAAGATAAAGATAAAGATAAAGATAAAGATAAAACCTCCCTTGATAAGGAAATAACCGATCTCAAAAGCCAAATCAAGACCCTAGAAAATAAAATAAAAAATACTCCTAATTCTGGCACTAATTCACAATATAAGAAAGAAGTCGAAGAATTAAGAACACGACTGAAAGAAAAAGAAAAAGAAAAAGAAAAAGAAAAAGGTCAACAAGGACAGGATAAAAAAAGCAATTTCCCCACAGGACTAATGGTTGGTGGTGGAATAATAATTTTTGTTCTCCTATTAGTGATTGTTTTTTTATTGAGAAAGGGAAATAATAAAAATGTATAAAAATCATGAAAAGCAAAGAATTTATTGAAAAATATTTAAAAAATATATACGAACATTGCTCAGTTTATTTTGATATTCAGGAAGGTTCTATTATTGTCAAAAATTTGATAAGCAAGGAGCAAAAGTCGAAATGAGATAAAGAGGAGCCAACATTACGGCAACTTAGGGCAAAAATTCAAGAAGCGCGAAGTCGAGGTATTGCTGTGTCAGAAAAGGAGCCTCCCCAACATTGGGAGGATATTTGTGAAGATGGTAATTTTCAGTTAGGGGAAGATTATTTTCAATGATTAATTGCTAAATTGAATGAATGAGAAACTAATCAAAATAAAAAAGTAGAAAATATTAGTTTATTGATAAATTTTTTGGAATGGATTGTGACAGAAGAAGAAAAATTGTTAAGGGAAGAGGAAGTAGCCCAAAAAAAAGCTCAAAACGAAAGATTAAATGATATTATTTCGCGGATTTTAGACTCAAAGTTGGAGGAGTCTAGTAATAGGAGAAAAGAGTTAGATAAAGAAATAGAAGAACATAACAAGCAAATAGAAAAACTGAAAAGTATTGAAGATAAAGAAAATAGACGAATAGAAAAGAGAATCAAACAGATAGAAAGACTGAAAAATGGTGAAGATATTGACAGTGATGAAGATGTAGAGAGTGAGGATGAATTTTTGTTGGAAGAAGAAAATGAAGTTAAAAACATTCTCCTGATTGGTCGCACTGGGAGTGGTAAATCTACTTTGGCCAATGTTCTAGTTAATAAAAATAAAGAATTTGAACCAGTGTTTAAAGAAAGTGCGAGAAGTGTCAGTGAAACCAAAAATATTCAGACTGAAAAATTTACGGTTGATTTAAGCCGAGATAGAACTCAAAATATTAGTTATTTAGTAATAGACACGGCGGGATTTGGTGATACCCAGTTAGATAATAAGGAAATACTTAACTTACTAAAAGGATTAGTGCCAATTATTAAAGAGAATGGTCTTAATCAGATATTTTTTGTGACTAATGGCCGTTTTACTCAGCAAGAAGTCGAAACTTATAAACTTTTAGAGTCAGTTATTTTTGATAGGGAGGCGGTTAATTATACTACAATTATTAGAACTAGCTTTGATGATTTTGAAGACAGAAAAGCATGTGAGGACGACGAACAAAATTTAAGAGAAGAAAATCAAGAAATATTTAAAATTTTAAAATCAAGCAAGATTATTTATATCAACAATCCCCCACTGATTGGTCGTTCGGCAGTAATTAATAAGGAGGTTAGAAAAGAGTCACGCAAAAGATTATTAACACATTTAGGTGCTTGTGGGGATAACTATTACCCAGTGAATTTAGAAGATCTTAATAAGAGAATTAATGATTACATTACTAGCGAGGAGGAACTAAAAAGAAAAATAGCACTAAAAGAGCAAAAAAATCAGGAGGAACAAACTGAACATCAAAAAGAAATAGAAAGCATTCGAGCTCAAAAGGAACGTGAACTAAAAATTGCCGAACGGAATTTTGAAAGAAAAATCCAAGAGTTAAAAAACCAAAATCAGAAAAAAATCCAAGCCACCCGCCAAGAGTTTGAAACGGCTCACCAATCACAACTTCAAAAGTCCCGTGAGGTTCATGACAAAGAAGTAAATGAAGTAAAACAGGCAATTCAGAATAACCTAAGCAAAATAAGAAATAGTTATAGTTATGTAAAAGTTGGCAAACCAGTTTGTCGTTACGGTCATGATAGAGATATTAGGGCTTATGATAAATCGGGTTCTTTTATTCCTGACCAATCTAACTTCATTGATTATATTTACTGCCCTACTTGTGGAACTAATGATTGCAATTTTACTTTACAGGATGCTAAAATTTACTCCCTAGAAGAATTAAGTAGAAAAAACTCGCAACATGCGGAGGAAAGAAAAAGGAAAATGCAAGAAGCCATTGATGAACAAAATAAAAAAGAACAAGAGATAATTAACAGAATAAATCAAGAAAAAACAAACCGCGACGCAGAAACTATTCAGAACATTCAAGAAAGAGAAAGGTTGGAACATCAAGTAATTAACCAACAAAAAAAACTTAATGAAGAAAGATTGAGACAGGAAAAACTAGTTAAAGAGAATAAAATAAACTCTACTAGTCAAGATAGAGAGAATGAATTAAAAAGAGAACTAGAACAGAAAAAACAAGCACTAGAAGACCATATAATACAAAGTGAGACGCAAAGAAATAATGCTTTGCAAGAACTATATGTTTATATTGAACAACGAAGAAGTTAAATTTGTGATATGACAAAAGAAAACATAATTTTGCCAATAGAAAGCAAAGAATAAGGTAAGAAATTCGACATTTGGAAGAGCAACAAAAAATAACAGGCAGTTATAATTTTGAGTTTGCTAGTTATAGTGATATAAGTTTAATGATTTAGTTACCGCTGGTAACATATAATAATAGAAATATTGATTATAAAAAAAACAGGGTGAAAATGCATGATAAATAAGAGGAAGGTTAATCCTCTAATTATTAGTTTTCTTATCGTAAGTTGCCTTGGTTCAAATTATTAAAGCAGAAAGAGAAACAAAAGTAAAAAAAGCAATTGAAAAGTTAATGATAAATAAATTTCACTTTCTTTCGGCTATTCATTCAAAAATACGATAAGGATATTTTTCTAAATGAGGAAATAAACTGCTTTCCTCTCCCACATTAAGTTTAGCCAAAGTTCAGACATAAAAAAAGTAAAAAACTGGGGCAATAAAAGCCAACGATAAAGTTTTTACCAGTTTTTTTCTTAATTGGTCTACTCGTCCATAAAAATAAAAATAAAGAATAGTCAAAAGCGGAGCAATAAAGTGTCAAGCAAATGACTGACAATTTAATAACAATGATTTTTCTCATTTGACACTTAAAAAAAACAAGCAATAAACTCAAAAGACAAAAGTAATTAAATTATACATCGTGGCGAGAAAAGTAATAAATTGTGAGAAATAGGAAGAAGTTTTTTTTCTTTCTCTAAATGCTACAATCACTGCTAAGGTAGTGAAAATTGAAGTATGAACTGACCACCAAGAAAAAAACCGCAGGAGGTGAAAATGGAAAGGAATATCAGTCCGAAAAAAAGCTACTATAACCCCCAATAAGTGTAAGAAAAATATGAAAGAAAGCAGAAATGTTTTTTTTTGTTTTTTAAGCACCAATAACATAATTTTATTTTATCCCAAAAAATACTTAATATATGTCAAAATCTTTTTATATCACTACCCCAATTTTCTATCCTAATGACCGTTTGCATTTGGGTCATGCTTATGTTATGGTTCTGGCTGATATTATTGCTCGCTATAAAAAAAGTCAAGGTTATGAGGTCTATTTTCAGACTGGTAGCGACGAACATGGGGAAAAAATTGAAAAAAAGGCTAACTCGTTAGGGATTCCTCCCCAAGAATTAGTGGATAAAAATATTTTGCTTTTTCAACAACTATGGCGAGAATTAGGTGTCTTTGAACACATTTTTTATCGCACTTCCTCTCTCGCTCATAAAGAAAAAGTTCAAAAAATTTTTACTGAGTTATTAAACAAGGGTGACATTTATTTAGGTGAATACCAAGGAAAGTATTGTATTGCTTGTGAAGACTATGTGAGTGATAGTAAAGTTATCAATGGTGACCTCTGCCCGACCCCTAATTGCCAAGCCGAATTACGAAAAATTAATGAACCAGCTTACTTTTTGCGAGTTAGTAAGTATTACCCTCAACTAATAGAGTATTATCAAAAAAATCATGACTTTTTTTGACCCGGCAATGCCAAAAAAGAACTTTTCAGTAATTTTTTAAATGATAAAAATATTCAAGATTTGTGTATTACCCGCAGTGACATTAAATGAGGAATTTCGGTTCCTAATCAAGAAAAAATGGTAATTTATGTTTGGTTTGAGGCTTTGCTTAATTACCTTAATTCCGAGCCAGGAGAAAAATTTTTCCTTTCCGAAATTTCTAGTGAAAAAAAGATCAATAACGCAAAAGAGGTCTCTTGTGTGGCTATCCAAAACAAAAATAATGATTATCTTTTGGTTTATAATGAAAAATACCAGCATTGGCAATTTCCCGGCGGTAAGTTAGAGAAGGGGGAAAATGCCGAGGAAGCAGCCAAAAGAGAAATATTTGAGGAAACCAATTTAGTAGTTGAGGATTTAGAGAAAATCGGTGAAGAGCATTTTTACGTTAATAATATTTGATGAAAATTTTATTTTTATCGAACAGAAAAATATTCGGGTGAATTACTAATTAAAGAAAAAGGAACAATCGGAGAAATCAAGTTCTTAAAAATAAGTGAAATACAGGAAATTAACAACCAAGACCAGGATGAAATAACTAAATACTTACTAAAAAAAATAACTAATAAAGAGCCAACTACTTGCGAAATTGTTCACCTTATTGGGAAAGAAATCACTCGTTTTCACGCGATTTATTGACCGATTATTCTTTTTTCTTTGCATAAACGCTTACCCAGTAAGATTTTGGCTCATGGTTGATTGACTACTCCTCAAGGGAAGATGAGCAAAAGTAAAGGTAATGTCATTGACCCGCTAGAACTTCTAAAAAAATATCCTCATGATTTATTAAGAACTTACTTCATTGCCAGAATTAACTTTTTGCAAGATGGAGTATGTGATGAAAATTTATTAAGAGATTTTTACCACGATTTCTTTGTTAATAATTTAAGCAATTTAGTTTCTCGGGTTAATAAAATGCTCCATTTGTATAATAAGGGAGTTGTTCCAGAAATTAAACATGAGCAAGCAGCAAAAAACGAAAAGTTAGAGAAGTACCAAAAAAAGTGTAAGTTTGCTGTAAAAGAATTTCAAAACAAGATGGATCAATATGAATTGACAACTGCTTTTTCTCAAATCCAAAATCTTCTGAATGAAAGTAATAAATTAATTTCTGATTTAGCTCCCTGAGAATTAGCCAAAAAAGATGATATTTCTCTTTTAAACTCTATCCTTAATTATTTATCCACCGGAATAAAAATTATTGCTTTTTTGCTTAGTTCTATTACCCCCGAGACTAGCCAGAAAATTTTGGAGACTTTTAATATTAATCAACAAAAATTAAATTGGGATAATTGTTTAGATTTTAACTTTATGGACGGTATTAAAGTTAAATTGCTAGAAAAACATTTATACGAACCTCTTAAATAGACTTTTTAGCCTCTTTTTTTTTTTTTTTTTTGCGAAAAATAACGATTCTTACCACCAATGCTGTTAAAGAAGCCAGCGAAATGGCGATAATTATTTTTCATGGAAAATTATCAGGAGAACCAATTTTATTGTTATCTTCTTGCTGGTTATTGCCATTTCTGAGGACTTGAATAGCCTTTACGATTTCAGGTTTTAAATCACTTAATGCTTGTTTTTTTAATCCTTTTCGGAATTTCTCTTTTTGTTTGCCGGGAAGCCTTTCCCAAGGTCATTTTTGTTGTCAAAATTTTCATCTCCTAATATTTCTTTTACTTTTGTTAAAAAATCATATGTTTG